TCCAACCAATCACTGTGGTAGTGGTGGCAATGCCGGCTCGAGATTGTGATACTTCGGTGGCACAGCTCAAGATGAAAATTTGATCCATTGGCTTTAGCGAAACAGGGGCAGGTGTCTACGTTAATCAGTTCCTGCCAGGCTGTCCGCCATCTTTTCTCCGTTCTTGACTGTCTCGGCCTTGGGCATGCAACAGCGAGAATCCGTGTCGTTCCGTCCGGTGCTTCCGAGGAACGAGACATGCGTGAAATCCATGCGCAGCTTGGGACTCAGTCGCAGATTCGCAGTCCCCGAGGAGAGCGCAGGTGCAGCGCTCAGGTCTCGCTTGGACGAAGCCGTTGCTTCTCCAACCAGTCAGTGTGACTGAGTGACTGACTTGTCTTTCCGCTGATGCAAAACAAGCCGGAATACTATGCAGCGCCTTGTGTGCGGTTGAGGGAACCCATCTGAGTGCAGTTGCATACAATAGCCACGGATGCAGTTAAGAATCTGTGGATCACAGGACATCCGCAATGGTTCCTTGCGCCCTGGCGGCTTTTTCGATTCCTGGGACTTCCGGACATGGGCAGCTGTGGACTTATGTACTGCCCAGGACACCAGCTCAAGACCGGTTTGTTGCAAGCAGCTTCAAGCCCAAGGTCTGTTTTTCTGCACAAACCTCTAGGCACGTTTATGCTTGGTTACGTTTTTGCATGTTTTTGCACATGCACCGGCCCACACTTGCACCAGATATGCATATTCTCGTGCGTATCATAATCTGCGTACAGATGTCAAAGTTTTTATGCATGTTACTTCATGAAATCTCTCTCTCTCTCTCTCTCTCTCTCTCTCTCTCTCTCTCTCTCTCCAATATTCAATATGATATGCATGGTTACATATGTATATTATATATATATATATATGTATATATATATATATATATATGTATATGGGGCCCCCCGTGTACCTACCCTTTTCTTGTGTTCCTGATCAAGCACGGAACTCAGCACATCGATTCGGCACTAGCCATCCAGGGTCCTGGTTTGCATATGTGCTCCCAGCAGTCCTACCTATGATTCGTGCTCTCCGTCACAGTCGCTTTCACACACAGTTCCCAAAAGCCGCGAGATCGTGCTGTCACACACAGTTCCCTAAGCCCAGAACCAGGAACCCAATGTTTTGGACTAATAACATTAGTACCTCTCAGAACTTTCGCATGCCAGAATGCTCAAAACCATACGTCCAAAACATTGGGACCTCTCAGCACTTTCGCACGCCAGGACGTTTAAAACTATGAGAGGTCCCAATGTTTTGTGCTCTCAGCACTTGTACTCTCCCCACAGTCCCAAAACCATGAGGGTCCCAATGTTTTAGATTTCAGATGTGGGAAGCCAAAGTCTCAAAGCTGCGGTTTCAAGCTCGAACCGCACGGATTAGATTCGACACGTAGATTAGTCCGCTCCTTTCATTGCAAGTGTTCCTTCCCAAGTTGCTCGAATCATCTTTGACTCCGCAGAGCGTGCTCCCACAGAGTGGGGGTCGGCGAATCGGAACACCGCCTGACGGATCCTGACCTGAATTTCGATCCTTCGTCTGATTTCCCTCCGCACTTCTCCGCACTTGTGCTCTCCCATATAGTAGCCAGCTGATGTTCAGTGAATTCTGCGACTACGTCCAACTGTTGCTTTGACAAACTATAAAGACTAAGAAAGCTTCAGATGGGTATTCGTTGAACATGTCATGTCCACAGAAACCTTCAGCACTATTCTTCATTTTTTCTGCTGAGTTCTTCCCGAGTTCTTCCTGGTATTCAGATATTGTCAGTGTTCCATTGTATTCGAGCACCAAGGTGTCGAATTAGCTTATCTGTCATGCACATTTATTTAGTCAGTAGGCCTGCTTGTGTAATGTAACATCTAATTACCCCGGGTGTTTTCGTATTTTGATTGTCGCGTATCATTTGCATATAGCACTTGTTCAGAAACACTTGAATTTCTACTTCAGTCATACTGATTGAGCATCAAACTTCTATTTGGTGGGATACTCGTTTGATATTTGAATTGTTCGCAGGTATGTCGGCCCTCCAAATTCCAATATTGAATTGTGTTTTGCGGCGGTGCGTCAATTTTCCAAGATTGTACAGACGCTAAAGCTCACCTGAATGTTATCTTGATGCCCCGTTGATGTTAATCTGTGCCGAGTTTTCTGCTTATAGTATGTAAGTATCAGGTTCAAACAACCTGTAAGTGTTCGTTCTATACTCAACGAACATGTGATGTTCACGTACAACTCAAGCAATATGCCATCACTATATGCTTCATATCCTTGAGATCTAACGCAACAGCTATTTCATTGTCACTAGTATGTACGCATATGTACGCAGTGAATTCGTAGTTTCCAACTGCGTATGCATATGGTATTCCAGGGCTTAGTCGCTACTGAGTACTTTTGCGGCTTCACGGGATATTTGTTGGTATCTCTTCTCAATGAGTGGTAATGCAATCTCTACTGCAGAAAAAGTCGTTCTGAACTGTTACGGCTGGCTGGTTTGCTGTTTCTTTTGTACTACTGCCCCGATTAGCTGTTCCAGTATTGACTAATCTTTGAATACTGCACACTGTGTGGCTTGAGCAGGAAGGCAGAACAACAAGAAACATTTAACAACAAACATTAACCTGGCTGTAATTGGGCATAAGTACTAGCAGAAGCAATTACAGATGTATCGCCAATGCCGATGCTGTTTCACCGCGAGTCTGTAGGGAATGGATCAGACATGGATATTTTAAGAACCGTACAAGGAAACATGCTAAACGGCTTGTCGCCGGCGCACATGCACGTGAATATCATGAGAGGATCAAGCGTGAATTAAGGTCAGCTTTTGGATCTGGCATGATGCTGCAAGAGCCGCAAGTATGTGACACCCAGCTTACTGAATCGCGAAAGCTGGGACGATGTTGCAGAAGCAGCTGAGTCGGCTAGCGATCGGTTCCGGACTCTCGAAAGATGTTGAGCGGTTTGGGGGAATCCCACCAAGGGCGAGGTATATGGTTGGGCCGGCTTGGCATGGAGGCACGCAGAAGACATCGGCAGCATTGACCCTGAGACGCAGGCAATCGGTCTATGTTGATCCCGTGAGAGCTGTCTCATTTCCAGATGATATTGCTGGGCTTGGGGCCTCTTGTGTCTGGGGGCCGCGTAGCTCTGCTGGATTTGCCGCCTTTCCTGCATTGGTCGTCGACACCAACGGTCTCTCCCCTTCGGCCTGGGCTGTGTACATTGATATCCTCGTCGATAGCTCTGCCATCCTCTCCTGGACCGTTCTGGCCTGGCACATGGGAATGTGGAAGGTTCCGAAGATAGGGGACCCAGACATAATACCCTAGATATACAAGGACCCCGAAATAAGGTAGCCCACCTAAAGTTCGGAAACTCTAAAGCCTTATAGAGCCCTTTCAGGAACCTTTTTAAAGGAACCCTTAGGTACCCCCTAATGTTCGGAAACTCCCATGTGGTTTAGCTCCAAAGGCGGCCGGCTGCGCGTCAAAAGAAGCTCTAATGCTCAGTTAGAGTTTAGGGGTTTAGAGGTTTAGAGTTTAGGGCTTAGGGGTTAGGGCTTAGGCCTGAGGGTTTAGGGTTCAGGGTTTAGGGCTGAGCAGCGCTGCCTTCTCCTCACTTCGAAAGTGCCGTGAGTATTCAGTCCTGAGTCTGAGGTACGGCCCCCACTCAGTAACAGTTGGATAGTATTTTCATAGTATAGATATATAAGGCCCTGAATAGTAGCCCCATTACAGACTGTTACTGTATGGCGTACCCAACCTGAGTCCTTCGTTTGCTTTTAAGAGCGCTGGGATGTAAGTTGTGAGCTGAGCGAGGGCGTTGCCTCCAAGTGACATAGTGCTCTGACGAAGCTGCGTGCTCAAGGTTTCGACTATCGTGAAACCGCTACGCCCGCTTTCGTCTTCTCTGACTGCCAGCCATGTGCGTCGCCGAGTGGAAAAAAGAGTGAGGCGTCCGAACGCTTTGCTACATGTGGTGCGACCCTAAGGAGCTTTCTAATGGCAGCCGTTGCAGTTCAAGAACTGAGGTTGCCGTTTGCGCTGATAGTCTTTTAATGTCTTGAACAAAAATATTTCCTTTAAAGCTGGGAAAAATTAAAAGGACAAGTGCTGCCACGTTTTGTCGCCAAGAAGCTCTTGACATTGTCACTTTCTTGTGCTGAAGAGCGAGCCTCGGCATGAAGCTTGCAATGCGCGCCTTCTCAAGCGCAGGCGGCGGGTCTTAGGGTTTAGGGTTTAGGGTTTGTACCTGCCGGTCGTTGCCACAGGCAGGCATCGACGAGCTCAGCTGCATACACTTCACTTGTGTCAGTGTTTTCTTTTCGACCAACCCGCCCACCCACACCTTTTGCAGACATTTCCTTGCCAATGACGCCACCAGACTGACCTCTGGGTTCGATCTTGTTGCATACTTAAAGGCTCATGGGACTTAGTAAGTAAGGTTATAAGTAGGTTTTAATTAGGATAACCCCACTAAGGGGACTTATAACCCCAATTATAACCTACTTACTAAGTCCCATGATCCTCTAAGTACCCTGATCCAGCCTGGTGGCTGCGTGCGCTCTCGCAAGGCTTTCTAGCGTGCGCGGGAATTAGTTTAGCTCCGTGCAGAATCGATGACGGTTCCACTTCGACACCTTGAGTTTTGTGTTAGCGCTAGCGTGCAGAATAGAGTTCTGCCGGAATGAATCTTACCCGTTGTCACCGAGTGTACATGTCATGGAGTGTTTACCCTTAAGGGAGCTTTCTAGTGGCAGCGTTTCAGTTCAAGACATTGAGGACTTATATGTATCTGCATACCCATGGGTGTGCGTCAATATATTCGGAATGCAATTTGTTTTACCGCCGCCTGCTTGGTTCAGTCGGAAGCGAAACGGGTAAATTGAGATCCCTTGCTGCACAGTTGTGACGTCTGTGACCCGCTGTTCCAATTCTTCAGGCCCCTATAGTAGTTGTTTGTAAGTTGCCATGGACAGCTCTCTTGCGCAGTTTGCGTCCACGCGGCGCAAACAATGCACGAAGACGCCTTCAGAATGCATTTCAGGTGACTTGGTTGTTTAGTGTTCAAGGTTGAGGGCTTGCTCAGGCTCAAAGGTGACTTTAGCCCGAACTTGGCACTGCACAGGAGCCTGATGATTGTTTCTGGAAGCACCCGGCCTCGTAGGCCCGTTGCACATAATTTTGCAGCTAAGAAGATGACAACTCAGGCCTAGGCAACAACACCGTTGTGATGTACGTCGTGCCAGCCGATGCCTTCTTGCGCATGACAGAAGTCAAGACTCACGAGGAGCTCGCAGATTCTGGTGTTCTCAAAGAGTTCGATGAGAACCTGGGAAAGGCGATGTTCGTGTCGCACCAGTGGCTGAGCGGCAAGCACCCTGATCCAGACTTCCAGCAGCTGCGCGTTTTGCAAGATGCGCTCGAGAACCTGGCTGCAGGAACAAGTAGCATGTCACTACCTGCGGTCACAGAACTCCACCTTGGAAGCATCAAGTGCCCTCCTGCTTCGGACTTCGCTCCGGGCCATCTTCAGATTTGGTATGACTACTTCAGCATCCCACAGAGCAGCGATGCACATCATTGCCGCCAGACCGCCATTCAAAGCATCCCGGAGAATGTGGCAAGATGCGACTTCTTCGTCGTGCTGTGCCCTGCCTTGCAGCACAATGACCAGCAGCGGACTCTGAGCTTTGCAACCTGGGGCGAGCGAGGGTTGCTGAGTGTCACTGGTGTATTTTTCCGTTGACGGTACACTCGTTCACGCCACTCATAGGTTAGCTGGTTCCACATTCCATAGTTTAGTCCAGGTGGTGTCGCATGGAGAGAGCAGCGCGAGAACTTTCGACCCTCAGTGGTGGCTACATCATTCTTGTAGAGAGTGCGACACACCAGAGGCTGATGGGGACAACAAACAAGTTCACGGATGCACCGGGTGACGGAGAGTTTACATTCGATGCTGACAGAGTGGGGATCGGTCGTATGGTTACTCAGATGGTTTGGTCCAAGCTTTTGCGTTACCTCGACCATGGAGATTTTCACAACTACCGGTTCCTTCTCAACTCACACTCTTCGGTATATTGCCATGGCCTTGACGTGGAGCCCATTGACGGCATTGTTCCGGGATTCCACACTCGGACCGACCCGAGTGTTGACCCCCATGGTTTTATTCTGGATCGTTTCCTGCATCAGAATGGTCTCAGGAGCGCAGAAGCCCAACAACAGGGAGCCCCCAGACTTAGTTACTTCCGTACATCACCAAAACCCTTGCTGTCTGCTCCACCCGTCAGGACCATCTTCGAGCGGGATTCCGGAGGGTGGCCACCCGTTTGCTTTGCAGCGATGAGCAACAACCTCGTGGTGCTGCAGGCTCTTCTGGACCGAAGGGTGGATGTCAACCAGGTCACGACCAAGTCTAAGCCAGAGGCCAGTTTTCCTGCCAAAATGACGGCTCTTGGAGTGGCTAGCTTCTTTCGCAACAATGACGCTGTTGAGCTGCTCCTCCGCGCCAGAGCCCACGTAAATTACAAGGATGGTTGGGGAAGCGGTGCTCTCCATCCAGCGTGTGCAGGGGACAATCCTCTTGGAGTGCGGCTACTATGCCATGCTCGTGCCAACGTGAACCAGAAATGCATGCCGGGGCTGAGCCCTGTCATGCTCTCCTGTATAACTGGAAGCGTGCGCGCAATGAAGGAGATGCTCACCCTGAATCCAGCTTTGAGCTTGCGACACTGCCTGCACATCGCACTCATGTTCGCTGGAGGCGGTTCTGCTGACTTGATTTCGGTGTTGCTAGAGGCTCGGGCGAATGCCAATGAACAGTTCCGGGTACGGATCCGGGAGCCCGAATGGTGGCTTCTGATGAATGTCATGGCTGTAAGGCATCGGGTGAGGGCGTCCCGACTGACTTTGCTGGCATATCATCATCACGATGCTACGCCGCTTATGTTTAGCATTCTGACCGGCTCTTGGGATTCGGTGTCCTCCCTTCTTTCAGCCGGAGCCCGAGTAGACATCCGGAACTACCGCAAAAAAACGGCATCCGAACTGGCACGCCAGATTGGCGCGCCGTCGTGGTTGATAGAGGCCTGCTCTACTAAAGGCCAGCAAGACACCCCGAGCACCTCTGAGCGCGACACTTTCTTTATTTGACAGCTGTGGGTTGAATCCCAAGGGTTGTCTCGGTCTCACGATGTCAATTCTGTATAGTTTCGTCTTTCCAAGACTTATTGGGCATCATGCTCGCTGGCTAGCTGGGAAACGGTATGCAAATGAATGCAAGACACCTGCTTGCTACAGTATCTTCCGCGCGAATGCCGAAGCTTTTTCCTTGTCCATGATCTCGACCTTTCAGACGTCCGGGTTTAGGGTTTGGGCAAATCGAGCGTTTCAGGATCCTGACACGTAGTGAAGGTTTTTCCGGTTCAAGCACATCTCACAAGTGCAGGCCACCAGTGGATGTCGGTGCCCTGATGAAGCTTCTGCCCGCGAGTCTTGTTCTGATCGTGCTGATCGTCCTAAACCCCTAAACCCTAAACCCTAAACCCATCCTGGATCTTTCGCAGAGCGGTCAGGCGAGCTGATTTTTCTATTTCAGGTCAGAAAGATCCAGGTTCAAAAAGGCTTCGACTCTGCAGTTGCTTCGCAGGCCGGGTTTAGGGTTTAGGGTTTAGGGTTTAGGGTTTAGGGTAAAAAGTCTGAGCTGTAGCCGTCATAACTGCAATAACACTAAGTCACAGAACACGTGTTGAACGCCGCCCGAAAGCCGAAACGTTGCACGAACTGAGAAAAAGCTGCCCGCCGCAAGGAGCACGGTAGATCCGTTTTATGGGATGTCGGACGATGGCTTTTCTTCGGATTATTCGGGTAACGGTGCTCCGCCGCGTCAGGCTGTTAACGCTTCGTGAAACCATGTGTCGAGCTTATTTGGTTCGCAGATCCCTAAACCCTAAACCCCTAGACCCTCTGAACCCCTACACCTTAAACCCTGAACCCTGAACCCCTGAACCTTCAACCCTGAACCCCTAAACCCTAAACCCGTCAAGCCATAAACCCTGAAGCCTGAACCCCTGGACCTCAAACCCCTAAACCCGTAAACCCACAAACCCTGAACCCCTGAACCCCTAAACCGCTAGTTACCTGCCTGAGCAGTTTCCGTGCTATCATGCTTCTTCCGCCTTGGTAGTTCTAGGAGAAGGGTTCAGGGTTGAGAGTGTTTAGTGTTGAGTGTTTGTCAGGCGATTGCTGTGAGGTTGAAGCGGTAAACACCCCTTGCCGTTTGGTTCAAGCTGAAAGGTATCATGTGGGAAGCGGAGCGAATCCTATGATTTCAATAGCAACTAAAACTAATACTAATACGAATACTAATAAACCTAATAGCTATTTAAAAAACTAGATCAGGTTTTAGCATCGAGATGGTGCCGAAGCTACCAACGCTGCTTCTACTCGCCTCCTGCCTTGGCGGCGGCAGCTTGCCGATTTGTGAGGACGGCCAGTTGCAGCATTAGCTTGGCTACTTGGAGGATCAGGGGACTTAGTAAGTAAGGTTTAGGGTTTAGGGTTTAGGGTTTAGGGTTTAGGGTTTAGGGTTATAAGTACCCTAATTGGGGTTGTAAGTCATTATAAGTATGGATGTCGATACCAAAGGAAACCAAGGCTGAACCCTAAACCTTGAACCCAAAACCCTGCACCCTAAACCTTAAATCCTAAGCCCTGAACCCTAAACCCTAAGCCCTGAACCCTACACCCGAAACTCAAGGCCCTGAACCCTGAACCCCAAACCCAAAACCCTGAACCCTCAACCCCGTACCCTAAACCTTAAATCCTAAACCCTGAACCCTACACCCTAAACTCCTGAACCAGCACTTAAAAAAAACTCCTGAACCCTACACCCTAAACTCCTGAGTTTGCCTCAAGACTTACAACCTCTCCTGGTCGACCTAACGAGGCACCCAAACGCCTCGAGCTCCTTTCGGCCTTCGAGTACAGAAGCACTTTAGAATAATCCTGGGGTGCCTTTAGGGATCTATAGGTGTACCTGTAAGGGCTTCCTTTAAGGGATCCTTAGGGTTTAGGGTTTAGGGTTGATGATGTAAATCCTACATTACCTTCACGACCTTAGACTATGGGAATTATTGCATGTTCTTTATTATGAGCAATGCCGGGTTTGTATCATCATTTCGACAAGGGTTGAAGAAGGTCTTGAAAAGTCAGCGACTCACATCCCCATCATCTGAAACTCGGCCAAGTCTATGATGGGAGGACTGTGGCAGCTCTGACGTCAGCGAACTTTTGCAGCTTTCGCGAACTGCTCCCAATCAGGCACGGTGTGGAAGTAGCCCTCAACCCCTTCACCGTTTTGTGAATATTTGGGGGCTATCTGGCCTGAGGGCCCCCCGAGAAGCTGATGGCCTGACTGAACGAGTTTGGTCGGGAATGTTTCGCAGAGTTGTGAGGCTTCGAGGCGCCGGGTGGTGGTGGTCATGAGCCCAAATCAGTGATGGGTTTTGGTTCTATGTCTCATTCTCGATGAGTGACAGGTTGGGCTTGGTTGCAGAACGCTTTACCTCATTTTACCTCCTCAAAGAAGCTCATGTATGTGTTTTTCCAGCGCAAGCCCGTAACCCCTAAGCCCTAAGCCCCAAAGTTCCCACGGCATTGGCCATCGCCTTTAAGCACTGGACGGTGACGAGGCCCAGCTGATTGCCAGAAGTACAGTCAGATATAGTTGTAGTCCAAGTGACAGTTATACATCGGGAGGACAAAAGTTTTGACCTACTGGACCTTTCTCGTCTTAAAACGTTTTGCGGAGTAGCGGAGTACCGAAAGGTGCGATTTACGTGGCCTAGCCGGGAAGTATTTTATACACCGTTTGGAAATTGTACTACTTTAATGTTCCGGAGGAGTAGCCGCCTGGTCCTTTTTGACAGGATTCTATCGGGGAGTGGGGGTGCCCTGTGCCCGAGGAAAGCAGGACGGAGTAGGTCAAACTTTCGTCCTACCGCAGTAGTTATAGTTATAGCTGTAGTTATAGAAGTGGCAGCTACAGCTCAGCTACAGTCACCGTCACAGTCACCGTTTAGTAGCAATGTAGTACGTAATCTTATGGCATATTATGGCAAAATTATTGTCGTAATAATTTGTCGACGAGGGTTTTCTCATGGATTGAATTGCCCTGCAGGTTGCGGACTTGGAACAGCTTGGGCAGAAGATCGCAAAGGAGTGCTGGCAAGGAATGCACCCATAAACCCTAAACCCTACTTTCTAAGCCCTACACCCTAAACCCTAAACCCCTAAACCCTCAACCCTCAACCCTAAACCCTGCTTTCTCTTATAAAAGAAGCCTTATTTTCTAAGTCCGAAACCCTAGACCATGGTTTGAGCTTGAAGCCCGGGGCTCTCTGCATCCTGAGTCTTCTGGTAGCACAACCCCAGCCACAGCGGATAGAGCCCTAGGAACACAGCGTGAATCATGTGAGCAGCTATTTTGGATCCTTATCGCTTTGAAGGCTGAACTTTGGTGGTGGTTTTGCTGAGAGCTCCGCACTCCAACTTATCGTCCTTATCACTTTGCCACCTTGAGATTTCACCCGCAACCCAAAAGCCCCGAATCCTTTCGCCCAAGCTTTGCAGTTGAGAGTCTCCATCCGGAAGTTCGAGGTTTCTCTTAGGGTTTCGGGTTCTCTGAGGGTGCCCCACGGGGTGTCTGTAAGGGTTCTACAAGATTTGAGGGATTTAGGGTTTGTCCTGCGAAGCAGCCCCCTAAAACTAAATCCTGCACCCCAAGACCCGAAAAGCCCCAAGCACCTAAGGGTTTAGGTTTAGGGTTTAGGGGTTTAGGGTTTAAGGGTTTAGGGTTTAGGGTTTAGGGTCATAACCCCAAGCCCTACGCCCACCATAACGAGCCTCCGCAAAGAAACGGAGCTGAGGAGAAAGCCTCCACTGGATTCCTCGCCTTTTATGTGGTGAAGGTCCGACCCGCACACCTTGAGCCGATAGATATTCCTTTTAATCGGTTTAGGGTTTCGGGTTTCGGGTTTAAGGGGGGTCTATGAGGGTTTCATTCTTGGAGGGTTTTGTGTAGGGGGGCCTCCGGTGGTTTGAGTAGGGCTTTGGGTGGATATTCTACCAAGGAAGCCCCGTTAAGTCCCAAACCATGAACTCATGAGTGTTAAAGCTGAGCCCATGAGCCCTTAACCCATCACCCTAAACCCTAAACCTAAACCCCTAAACCCAAAACCCTAGACTCGCAACCCTGGACTTGGAGTGAGTGTGAGTGGAGAGGTGTCAGAGATCGCGGAGGGTGACGGAAACCGGTGAAAATCGAGTCAGTTGTGTGTTCAGTCTTTCGAGGTACTGCAGAATCCTAGACAACAAAAACCCACGTCTTAAGCCCAAAACCCTTAACCTTCAACCCAGAAACCGTACATCCCAAACCCTCCACCCTAAATCCAGAATCCCCATATCCTAAACATTCAATCCCAATTCCTAAACCCCTACGTAAATCCCTCAACCCCAAACCCTCAACCTGAAACCTCAATGGTCAAGGTGTCAGTTTCCGAAAATCGGGGACCCTGATATAGCACCCTAAATTGTAGGATCCCTATTACAAAGGCCCCAAAATAAGGTACCCTAAGGTTCGCGGAAACCCTAAACCCTTTATAGAACACGAGGACGACGACGCGACGACGACGCGGCGACGACGCGATGCGACGACGATGCCTTATAGAACCCTTATAGATCCCTCGAAGGAGCCCTTTAAAGGATCCCTTTATAAAGGAACCCCTAACTTTCGGAACTCTAAACCCTCGTACAGCCCTTTAAAGGAACCTTTATTAGTACCCTTTATCGTAGCCCTTTAAAGGAACCCTTATTAGCACCCTCTATAGTAGCCCTCTAAAGGAATCCGAAGGTACCCCTAATTTCCGGCGACACCCCCAGGTCTTCTTGGACTCAGCGCTTTTTATGCTCGAGAAGCAGTTCACGGGCCTCATCGAGGCCACGGGGGGCAGCTCCGAGTTCAAGGGTTTGGGTGAACCCTAAACCCTAAACCCCAAAACCCTAAACCCTAAACCCCTAAACCCCAAAACCTAAACCCCAAAACCCTAAACCCTAAACCCCAAAACCCTAAACCCTAAACCGTAGGGTCAAGCATTACTTCTCCCCCGAACAGGAGCTAAAGGCTCTTAGGTCTTTACAGCTTTCAGCTGTTTCCAGAGGATTTCTTATTGGTTTTAAAGTCTGAAGCTCTGTCTTTGCAAGAATAGACGGGGCTTCACGTTCTGGGGTTTTAAGGTTTTGGGATTTAGGGGGCTTGTAAGACAGAGGGTTGGAGTTGTTCTAGGGTGTAGGGTTTCAGGGTTTAAGGCTGAAAGGGATTATAGGGTTTAGGGTTTTAGGGTTTAGGGCTTATAGGGTTTTGGGTTTCAGGGGTTGAGGGTTTTGGGGGGCTTAGGTTTCTTTCAATTCGGGGTTTGGGGGTTGGGTTTTCTTTGTCAAGAGGGTTTTCCATTTCACTCGCCAAGGAGTCTCCTGAGACTAACCACTGCCAGAAATCGTTTGGAATTTAGCACCACCACCTCTCGTGAGCATCTTCCTGGTGAGAACAGTGGCAAAATTGTGATCGTGATTGTAGCAGCGTGGCTGGCAACTGATGAGGATGATGGTAATAATGATCAGGATGGCGATGATTGTCTTCATGATGATCACTACGAGGATGATGCTGTCGAGGGTGACTGTGGTAATGGTGCCTTGTTGTCATCAAGATACGGCATACTGCATTCATTGCACAATAAAGATGGGATTGGCCACAGTCGCACATGATTCTTGTTCTTGTCATTAGTACTATTGTGAATAATATTTGTTATTATGATCATTGTTCTTATGATTGTTCTTGCTCCTTGCTCCCTGGAGGTGGGTGACAAGGCTGGCCAAGACTTGCAAGAGCTGTTCTCCTCTGGCGAGGTCCCGGGGGGATTTCACAGCCTGCTCTAAGGGTTTAGGGTTTAGGGTTTAGGTGCTTAGGGGTTTAGGGGTTTAAGGGTTTAGGGTTTAGGGTTTAGAGGGGGCTTTATTATGGACGCTTTCTGAAAGGAGGCTTAAAGGGAGCTTTGAGGGAGCTGGAGGCTCCGGATCTCAGAGCAAGAATCGCTGGCTTTGATATATTCTGCAGTTGATTCGGGACTGGGAGTTTCGGCGCTGCTGGGTGCCACGGTGGATGGAGGAAATCTTGCACTACCTCACATCTTGTTGCGAATACACATCCAAGCAACAACCCCGCGCCCCCTTCTTAACATTGACGACAGACCTCTTGGGGCGGTGCAAGATTTATGTCATTAGAACGATTTCGTAAATCCCCGTGTTCATAGCAATGTTAAGAAGGGGGTGCGGGGTGAAGCTAACTAACATATCTTAAAAGTGGTGCAAGATTTCCTCCATCCACAGCAGTGACACGCTTTACAGTTCTTGTTCCTGCTTCAGGCTCGTGAATTTCACCTGCCTGAAGAAGGGGGGGGGTGTCTTCTCTGTCGGGGCAAGCAAACCTGCTTTTGACCATCCCACATGCCAAACTCCGAACCTCATGCTCTAAATTCTCTAAATCCTAAACCTAAACCCTATCTCAAATCAGTCCATGTTTTGGTTCACTCCGCTGCGAGCGTCGGAGTGTGGAATCTTCCAGTTGGTCCAACTTGGATCCGCAAACCTAGAGTATCATGATACTGTATGATACAGGGCTTTCGGTTGCGGTTTAGGGTATGTGGCAGCGGAGGGAAGGGTTCAGGCTTCAGGATCAGTCGGGGCATTCGGTTGGTTTGGCAGGTGTAAGCATGGGTTTAGGGTTTCGGGTCTTCACCAACATTGGCCATTGCTGCCCCAGGAATCTCCTTCGGGTTTAGAGTCTGGTGCACTAGGTGCATCCTTCGAGTGCCTTGTGCATTGCTACACCCTTCTCGAAGTACATGACGTCTTGAGTTGAGACCTGCCGACGGCTCTGCCATTGCTAAGGGCTCTGAATCCTACGACCTCGCACCATCATGTGGGGTTGCCAGGATTTAAAGCTGGGATTAGGGCTGACACCCTAAACCCTAAACCCTGAGTCTTCCAGCTGACTGGCTCCTCCAAGGAGGGACAGGAGGAGGTGTCTCAGGAGGCCTCGGATCTCTTGAAGGAGCCCTGCATGAAATCCCCGATGCATAGACCCAGAGAGCCCAATACCCCTTAATTAAGGAATATAGCTGAAATCATAATATGAATCCCCTTATGATTTAAGGTATATTCCTTCATTAAGGGGTATTGGGCTCTCTGGGAAAGCCCGTGACATCTTAGGGTTTCGGGTTTAGGTTTAGGGCGCTGGGTTTACGGCTTAGGATCTAGGGTGTAGGATTTATGGTTTAGGGTTTAGGGTTTAGGGCAGGTGCTATCATCAAGAGCATGGCGACTGATGGTGTCAAGTACGATGACGGTGACCATGGCGATGACACTGGCGAGGACGAGGTTGATAACCATTGACTCCAGTTTGTTCCGCTCGTGGCCGAAGCCACTGGTGGCGGCTGGGGCCCCACCGCGGTCAAGGCTTGGCGACAGCTTGGCGGTCTCTACGCCGCCCGCTTGGGCTTGACCGCCAGCGAAGGCACCGAACAGCTCTTGCAGTCCCTAAGTGTGACGCTGCAGAGAGAAAACGCCCGGGCCGTTCTCCGCCGTCTCCCCGACGTCGGCGAGGAGGGCCGCGGGCCCCTTGCTGAGCCGTAATTGCATTTTCTTTCTTCTTCTCCTCTCTTTCAATCTTCTCTCGCCCGTCAGAGCCGGGGGGCGGCATGGCCGTGCCCTGTGTTGCCGGGGTTCCTTCTTTCGCATCTTTCGCCCGCCTGAGCCGGGGAGCGGCGTAGCCGTGCCCTGTGTTGCCGGGGTTCCTTCCTTTCTGCGTGTCTGGCCGGGGGGCGGCCTGGCCGCATCCTGCGCTGCCGGGGCTTTCTTCTCTCGGGGGGTTTTTATTCCACGTGCCTCAAGGGACACGGTTTTTCCCCTCCGGTCTCACAGCTTGTAATCGTTACATATGTGTGCGATTGACGACGATGGAAGGGGCTCACGGTGATTGTGAAGGTGCTGGTGCGGCAATGGTCCTTACCGTCATGCTGTGCATGATGGTGAGATGAGGATGACAATAATGATAATAGCAACAAGAGTAGTCATGTTGATATTAATATTCATGTTTATATTAAAAAGGCTCAGAAGGTTGAAATTAGTACCTCGTTCATACCAAAAATCAATGTCATGATGGTAATGACCATGATGATGACGATGGGCAATGATGCAGTCCATGAGGGTGGCTCGCGTTGGCAGGAAATTCTTAGAAGGGGTGGTCGGTGAGTCCATGAGTTTAGGGTTTAGGGTTTAGGTCGTGGGTTTGGGAGTGAAGCAGTCTTCCATTCTGAGAAGTGTTGCTGAGCGCGGTTGCAGAAGGAGTCACAGGACGTGAAACATGTATTCAGGGATACGCCCTCACATTTTGCTCGGGGTACTGTTGGCACCGGTTCCTGTGGCCGTGGTAGGAGGCTTCGGTCATGGAGTTTCGTGGCCTCTTGAGTAAGACGGTTGATGTTACGGACCCTAAACTATGGGAATTATGGTATATTCCTTATGATGGGCAATGCAGGATTTGTATCATCCCTAAACCCTAAACCCTATAGATCCCTTAAAGGAACCCCTTAAAGGTACCCTTTATAGAGCCCTTTAAAGGAACCCCAGGATTTATATCATCAGCCGGAGCATCCTTGGTTCAACCCGAGGGCTGATAACCTAGAGGCCTCGGGCTTTGCTACAGAAACCGTGAGCTTATATCCCCGAACCCTAAAACCTAAACCCTAAATCCTAAACCCTCAACCGTAAAACCCTAAATCCTAAACCCTAACCCCTAAATCCTAAACCCTAAATCCTAAACCCTAACCCCTAAATCCTAAACCCTAAATCCTAAACCCTAAACCCTAAACCTTAAATCCCAAACCCTAAACCCAAGCTCAATGCCAAGAAGCCCCTGGGGAGGAGCTGTTCTCCCGAGTTCGGACTGAACTTTTCAGCGGAAGCTCGCATGTGCCGACGGTCTTTCGAATGTTCCTTTGTCATAGTTGGGTAACATTTTACATTTTTTGGGTACTTGAACCCAGTAAGGAATAAACATGTACATGTTTATTCCTATCCCAACAGCGACCTAGGTTCGGCTTGAGAAGGTCGGCAGAGGCGTACACGAGCAGTGTGAAGCAGGCCCGGTGTTTTGGTGGAATTTTTTCGCTTCGTAGAGATGGATGGGAGTTCAGAGTTTAGGATTTTTTCGGGCTTGAGGACTTGGGATGTAGAGATACGTAGGTATGCAGGAGTTCAAGGTTTAGGATTTGTTTGCGGGGTTTCAGGCACTTGGAGGATCAGGGGACTTAGCAAGTAAGGTTATAAGGTTATAAGTATCTTAATTGGGGTTATCCGTATGTCTGCGTATAGTTACCGTATGTAGAGTTGCAAAGTCCCATGATCCTTTCAGTAAAAAAAACTTCCATAGATCCCTTATAGAACCCTTTAAGGAACCGTTTAGGGAGCCCCTTAAAATTACCAAGTCCCATGATCTTGTATAGATCCCCTTTAAAGTACCCCAGAAGCAGGCTTCGGACATCTTGGACGACCTCTTCAAAGCCTGTGACGTGGCGAGCTATGCCGCTGCTGGTTCACTAGAGGTGCCGTCTTGGAACAAATCCAAAACCCTAAACCCAAAGCCCTAAACCCTGAAAAGGGCCCGAAAGAAAACGCAGCCGAAACCCTAAATCCTAAACCCTAAGCCCTAAAATCCTAAACCCTCAACCCTAGACCCTAAACCATAAACCCATTTTCTCCTGATTCTCCGAGCTCCGAGGAGAGGGTTGCAGGTTGCTCTCTCAAGTTGCTTCGGCTCGCCAGGAGATTCGGCAGGGTTGAGATTTGATTTTGGGTGTGAGGGGGTCTCCCTCCCTCTCTCTCTCTCTCTCATTCATATGTATATTTATTTTCTGTATATATATATATATATACGTATTCTCACGTTTTATTATATGTATATGTTTATATAGAGAGCAACTAGAGTACATTCCGTTATGTTATCGTATAGAGAGCAAACAGAGTACATTCCGTTATGTCTTCGAAAAATTATGACCGTTTATGCCATAACATAGAATATGTGGGATGTTATCCAAGCGTGGTCCAAGCGCTCTCGGCATTGGCAGCTGCTGCATCAGGTGATGCAAGTTTTCTGGCATGGGCGGGTTGAGGGTTTAGGGTTTCATTACGAATGCGCACCTAAAACGAATCGAGTGAGGGCAGACTCTGGCAAAGTTGTGTTCATCCATAGACGGTATTTGGGACGTCATGGGTGCCGGGCGTGCCGTCTGGTTTTTCAGGTGGGATCTGCAAGTGGGGGTTATAAGGCTTGCCAACGAGCAACAATACTCAAGATAGTAGCAACAATTTAGTAGTACAATAGCATACAGTAGCAACACAGTAGACATACAATATAGTAATACACCAGTAGTACCGTAGTAATACTATAGTCTTGTAGTAATCATGTAGCGGTCATGTAATACGGTTGATGATGTAAATCCTGCATGACCTTAAGGACCCTAAGCTATGGGAATTATGGTGTATTCCTTATTATGGGTAATGCAGGATTTATACCATCAACAGTAGTAATAATACATAATCATTATGTCAGCAGGCCTCCCTGGCAACCTGCCGGGACAAGAGCTCCGAGATGAAAGACGCGCTGCCGAAGCTGATGCGGACGCTCAACAGGTTTAGGGTTTAGGGTTGAGGCGTTTAGGGGTTTAGGGGTTTAGGGGTTTAGGATTTAGGGTTTAGAATCTTCTGAGTTCAGGGCCAAGGAGGTTTCGGACGTTCTCGGTGCTGCAGGGCGTTCCTCGAGGATGGTCTGAACGTTTGCAGTCATGACTAGCCGTTGATATTGGAGGGGCTAAGGAGCCAGGGATGATGATAATCCCATTTAAATAAGGAGCCAAATAGCCAAGGGAGCCGCAAAACCACTGGTTAGATGACCTTGGTGGTTACTTCTACGATGTTGATGTGAGACATCTTAAAACAACACAACATGAACCTCATAATGGCAGTGTACTAAACTTATGTTAGACTCTTAGACCGACCCTATATTCTAGTGCACTGTACACACTATGTTAAATTGTCTACAGATGACATGACTTCATAGTACAGTATATTGCATGTTATAGCACATGCTATCACATCTTATGACGTTATACCATAGTATATCATGCTTTTGCATGGTAGTTAGTTAAAGTATAACAACTCAAGTAAAGCTACATTACGCTGCATTACATTGCTTGACATTGCATGTGACCAGATCATATCGTATCTTACCATATCATACTATACTCTCTTGTATTGCGTTAATTTCATGGCATCATACTCTATGATATTCCAGTATGTTGTGCGATACTATATTGTGGTATACTTTACTGCATGTTTGCTATGTGATTCGCGATATTTCTTATTCCGGTTTGTTGTGTTGCATAGCTTCGCGCGGTATTGTATATTCCATTGTAGTATGTGAACTTGTATGACCCTAAACCCGTCATAGTTAGTTTCTGAGAGTCATGGAGGGTTTTTGGTAAGCTCAGCTCGGGGCAGGTGGCAAGGTATTGAACCATCAAGCCGAAGAATATTGGAGCAGGGCCATCAGGGATATCATTCGAACATGAATATACTATCAATATGCCTGTATGATAAGATTAATACAACTTAGCCGACTTAGCACCACGTTGTCTTCTATTGCGGCTCTTCCGAGCTTTTGCGTCTATTGTGCCATCCTCCATGTCTCAGGGCAGGTTTTGTCACGAGTTGCGTTTTGTTTGGACATGTGCGCACATTGACTTTCCCAGGAGTTTCTTGGATACGCTGGCCGACAACATCGCCTGGGTTGTGACTTCTGTACTGCATGATAGTAGCGCTTTTCCGTTTTTCGTGCTAGAGCACTTCATCTGCAGAATGAGAAGATATCTATAGCACTGTCGTGCTGGTCATGGGAGCAGTCTCAGTCCTCCACAAAGCAAGCTCATATCAGTATGGCAATGGAAGTAAACTGTGTATTCCTTTCAGGTGCAGTTGTCGTGACCGCCGAGATTTGGTGACTGACATCATCGCGACATCAGTATGAAGAAGCAGTGTTGCACTAGCAGTATGAAGACTGCAGCAGGGGCAGAAGCAAAACCTCAAGATCTCTACAATATATACAATAATTATACGGTACTATACAACCTACATATATTGAAAGCTTTTGAAATCGGTGTCTCCCGATCGCAGTCCCTTTACGAGGTATAACAAGGACGCTCTGAAAGCTTATGCCGACAAGCACCTGGATTATACCGTGGGAATTGTGCAACGCGTGTGCACGTCGGCCGGGGCCCCAACACGGGGCTTGAAGTGTATGTGTATGTACTGCATATATACACACATGATAACATATATACATACATAGATATGAACATGGTAACATATATATATATATATATATACATATATATATATATATGTGTGAGTACATTTAATGTATATATATATATACATACATATATGGACACTGAAAGCCCAGAGCCGTGACCCCGTTGAATCCTTACCCCAAACCCTAAACCTAAAATCCTAAACCCGAAACCCCAATACCCTAAACCTAAACCCTTAACCCCAAATTCCTAAACCCGAAACCCTAAGCCCCTAAAATCCTAAACCCTTAACCCTGAAACTTCAGGCCCCAGCCTCGACCCCAAAAAGTGATCCTTTGCGCGGCTTGACTTGGGGCTACTTCGAGTTTGGGCCGCTAAAGGGTTTCCAGCACCCTAAACCCCAAACCCTAAACCCCCTAAAGCCCTTGGCTCTTATAATGTAGGGGCCTGAATAATTAGAATAGGGTCTCCCCTAAAGGGATCCTTATACTATAAGGGATCTAAACAATAAAGCAACCCTAAACCTCAGACTTCGTCCACAGCCATCGGCGATTCCCTCAGGTTCATGGTGCGGTGCTCGCGCTCGCCGACGGCACGTCCGCCTATGCTCAAGTGAGCACAACGAGATAAGATCCACCTGGGCTGTGGCCGTTTTATGTACATATCTATGTATACATATATATATACATGTCCACACCAACAAATCAATAGTTAAATAATAAAGTACATTTGTGCATATATTTATATACATACATCTCTCTCTCTCTCTCTCTCCCTCCCTACCTCTCTCTCTCTATATTTAGTTAGAAAACACATTATGGGTATTCAGTGGTGCTAGTTTTGCAGGCTGCTGTATGCCATGTAGGACAAGTCTAGAACCTCTCCGAAAGCTGTCGCGGCTGATTTAGGTTTAGAGTTTAGGGTTTGGGGTTTAGGGTCTACGTGGCTTGGTAAGTAAGGCGGTAAGCACCCGAATTGTGAGTTATAGCACAATGAGAAGTATAGGCACCTTGTTAGTCCTGGTTTCTGGGTCCCATGATCCTACAAGTCAGGCCTATGGAAGGTAGCCAGGCCTTTCTTGCTAAGTCACTGTTGATCTCAGCTACCCATGACTCAGGCATGTCAAAGAGAGATCAATCTGGAAGTCCCATCTCGTAAACAAGCTGCAGGAGCAAAATGTCCCACAGCCACAGCCAGGAAGATAAAGGAAGTCTGTTGCGGCAGCATCATGCACTCAGTTTTAAACCAGTTTTAGTTTCGTTGTTTGACAGGAAAAGCAGAGGCCCGTCTTCATTGGGAAAGCGCCAGAGCCCTAAACCCTAAATTCCCAACACAACCTCAGGGCGCACCTTCGACGGCCCCTGCTTCCACTGCAAATCTCTGGTCCATGGTTCCTAGCAACGGGGCTTCCCCAGCATCGGTTTTGTGGGGGCATGTCGGGGGTTTAAGGTGCAGAGTGCAGGGCAGGGTTTAGGGTCCAATCTCTGAAGAAGGGTCTGCTCCTCTCTTAAAGCCTGCGAGCTTCAAGAAACGAAAGCCCTCTGCAGCTCCCTGAAGAGAACCAGGGCATCCACCGACTGTCCAGTGAATCGACTGGGCGTCGTGAGCTCGTAGGCTCCAGAGCAACGAGATCAAAAGGAGTTTCAATCGGCTTCCGACGTCCTCTCTGGGGCCCGTGTTTCCATGGGACAACCTTGAAAGGTGACTGCTGCCAATGCTTAAATGACTCAATTAGGACTTCGCGTCCTAGATCCGAAATCCAGTCATTCCAGAAACCCTACACCCTAAACCCCTGAACCCTGATCCCTAAAACCCTAAACCACTAAACCCTGAACCCTAAACCCTAAACCCCAAACCCTGAACCCTAAACCCTAAACCCCTAAACCCTGAGCCCTAAACCCTAAACCCTAAACCCCCCATCTCAAGAAACTCCCCGAGCCCGCAAACCCCAAACCCCAAGCCCAGCAAGCAACCCCGTTTATCTGCATCCAAGTACACCGACGGCCCCCTAAACCCGGAGCCCATAAGCCCGTAATTCCCCAAACCCTAAACCCCACGGTGCTTTTGCTGCACCTGAAGAAAAGGAGCTTTAAAAACATACCCGAAACCGTAAACTTCGAAACACACTCCGAAACCCTAAACTCCAAGCTCGCTAAGCGTTCAATTGGCAAGCACTGAAAAGCACTGGCTCTAAGTTCTTCCTCTGTCTAAACGACTGTCAGAACACTCGGTAGATTTATGCATCATTGCCCTTCGAAGCGCCCAAGAACCCCAAACCACGCGCGGCCTCTTGCCTAAACCCTGACCGCTAAACCCTATATAAACCCCAAACCTCGAAGTTCCAAACCCTATACCTCTAAATCCTGAACCCTAAACCATAAGCTTGGAAGCATGAACCCGAAAGGCCAGAGCTCTAGCTCTTCCACTGAAGCCGAGCAGTCCCTTTCACTTGAAGCCAGAAGCCCTTAGCTTCAGAACCTTAAACCGTGACACGTTTTTGAATCCTGTACGAAGCTCTAAACTCCCATCCGAAACTTGACCCGGTAGCCCGAAACCCCACACCCAAAACCATAGACCCGAAACTTAAATCCTAAACCCTAAACCCTGAACCCTAAATCCTAAACCCCTGAACCCTAAACCCTAAACCCTGAACCCCTACCCTATACTTAAATCCTAAACCCTAAACGTTGTGCCTCGACGTTTCGTGTTCGCCTCCTGTCTCGGACATGGCCCGCCGGAAGTGCCCAGAGTGGTTGGAATGGGTAAGTTCTGGGCCGCTTGTCGAATCTCTATTGTTTGGAGGGTTTGGGTTTTTGATTCTTAAGATTTTTCGGGTCTCCGGCCTCACCATGAGAGCATGATCACATATCGTCCTTCTTCCAGTGCTGGCACGAAAGCTGTCCTTTGTTGCAGTAGTTGCTTCGAATCTTATTGACTTGACAGTTCTTGCCGCTTTTGCCTCAGCGCTCTGCGATTGTTGGCTTGATGTAGCTGTTGGGCAGGTTGCAAGGGCTGTGACATGGGGTGGATGTATATATGTACTTGTTCATGCCGTTAGTACTGTATGAGGACATATGCAAGGCCACAAGAATAAATGTGTATATGCGTGTGTATGTATGTATATATATATACACACATGCATACAGACACATACATTCTGCACATTTTCTAGGGATTGGTGTGGTGGTTTCCCTCCCGAGGTGCCGCACGCGGACGCTTGTCTCCCATCAGCTGGCAACTTTGTACTTTTAACACGGTTCCACCAACAAATCCGCACATATTCCTAAACATAGCTAACAATGCGAGCATAAATTTGAAGTATTACTAAGTGAACAAATGAAAATTAGTTAATGCAAAAGTAAACATAGATCAACAAGTACATCAACGAACGAAACATGAGTACGCAAGCGAATACATACATGTAAGCAAATATATATGAATAGTTTATTTATATATACCTATCCATCTGTCCGCTACCTATTTACCTATGTAGCTGTCTACCTACACCCCTACCTCTCTATCTACCTCTTTATCTATCTATCTATCTATCGATCTATCGGTCTTATCCATCTATCTATCTATCTATCTATCTGTCTTTCTATCCGCATATATGTATATAAATATTTATGTATTTATACATACACACATAAAACTATGGTTAGCAAAATTATATGTCAATACAAACACAAGCATGAATAGAAGCACGAATATAATATCATAACTATGTAAACAGAAAGTTAAGTATTTAAACATAGACAGATGGGTAGACGGACAGATAGGCAGCTACAAAGATAGACAGATAGTTAGATAGACGGATAGCTGCATAGGCAGATTTTCGATGCGGCTACAATCCTCAGCTGTTTTTTCAATCCCCAGCCATGACGTTTGCTGTTCGTGGTAAACTCTAAACCCAAGCCCTCCGTGCATTTAGCGGGGCTGTGTTTGTCGATCCGGGTACCTCTGTTCCGGGAGTGTGTGTGTGTGTGTGTGATTTTGCGATACTGAATTACGGTTTGTTGTTTGGGATTCAGGGTTGAAGAGTTTGGGGCTGCCGGCAGACTAGGACATTGCAGTAATTCAAAGCTACGCAGATTCGTTCACAAGAGCTCGGGGGCTGTGATTCCTTCTGCTGGGGTTCGTATGCCGGCATCCAGAGTCGAAGCTCGTAAGCTTGGAAGGTGCAGCCGATTGGACATACCTGAAGTTCAATTCACGAGGGCAAGTTCGAATTTTCAGATCATACCCTTATAGAACTCTCACAGAACCCTGCTAGAACCCTGATAGAAAGCATATAAAACCCTCGGAGGACCCTTATGGAACCTTGATTATCGGAGCATTTTGGGCCTTGTGCCTTCTAGGAGCGAGTATGGACACCCTGCCGCGTGGAGAGCGACGACGGCCAGACCTTGTCACTGATCTCCGAGGCGTCAGAGCTGCGCAACAGCCATAACTTAGAAGCTGCCCCCACCCTGTAGTAGTGACTATAAGGGTTATATGAGGGCCCTATATTCCTATTATTACCACTATTACAGGGTGGGGGCCCCTTCTAAGCCATAACCCTTATTGATTACTACTGCTGTTGTCATATTGTCATTGCTGTTGATACTGTGAGCCATGATGATTACGATTGTGATTCTTACTGTTATTGTTATTGTTCAGAATTTTCGGGGGATACCGCATTCAGGAGTTCGTATCAGAAGTGTCCTGTTAGCTGGCTTCGTCATAAAAGTATCCGGTCGCCTCAAAGTTCCATCTTGTACTCCTCCTCTTACGGTTGCTGTCGGTATCATGAGAACAGTAGCAAGCAGTACTATATGTTGTGACCATTACTTGGCCTTTTTGATGGTCCCAGGTGTTGCAGATTACAGAAAGATTCCTGAAGAAAGAGCTCAGAAAGATAGGTTTTCTAGGCTTCAGGAACATGGGCTTCTAGAAGTCGAGGAGTCGGTTTCGTATAGAAGCCGGAGCAATTACCAATACTATTCCTTTGGGTTCCTCTGCTGTAGTTTGCGCACAATGAACCACACAGGCCTTACTTTGCTGCTACAAAGGCCTTATTAAGCCCGAAAAGCCCCTCAAAGTCACCTTGTTTGAACCCCTCAACACCCTAAACCCTTAAATCCTAAACTCTAAACCCCTGAACCCTGAACCCTAAACCCCTTGTTTTTGTTCCGGGAGCGAGGCGGGTCGTTTAATGTGCCCAAGGTTTCCGCTCTCTCCCGGCGATCTCCAGGCTTTCCTCAAAGCGAAAAGACTTCAACAACCTAGACCCCCCAAAAGTAGCGAAAATAATGGCCCAACACCTATGAAAGGTAATTATTCTACATACTTTTGGGGTCCAGGAACAACCACACTACCGCAATTTCCGAATCATAATCACCATAGGCTTGGGGTTTAGGGTTGGGTGAGGGGGCGCGCTCTGGTGTGAAACACGGGCCCCGCGCTCGCGTTGCCAGTAAAACCATCCCGGCCACCCAAACTATACTCTATTAGGGTTTAGGGTTTCTTAGCTTGATTTCTTGTGCATTATTTCTACTCTTGGGTAGTATTAGATTTACTTACCTTTCTGGCTTCTGGAGGTGCTCGGCCGCGGATTCAAGCAGGTTCGGGTTTGGCTGCGGCTGAGGCTG